CCCCCCCCCCCCCCCCCAAAAAATCTTTGAATGATGACTAAAACAGACCAGCCAAAAGACGACTTTGGTTACTTTTTAAGGAGTCAAGTACTAAATCGGCATTTTACATAGTTTAAGAATATTATATTTACCTGCAAATAGTAGAGACAATCATTTTGATCCCATACTTACTATTATGTGAAGAGAATTCACAAAATAAAAAATGTATATTAAATTTACAAATTCAAAATTCTTTGCAGCAAAAACATAATGATGATAATAAATTTGCATAACATTTTTTTACCCAAACAACTTGCTATAAACCTTCATAGGTGATTCTTTTTTTTTAGCAGCATATCCTAGTCAAATTTATACCCTAACAAGATTTTCTGTTCATATTTACCTGCAAATAGTAGAGACAATCATTTTGATCATTTTCTCAGAAAGTTCCATACTTACTATTATGTGAAGAGAATTCACAAAATAAAAAAAAGTATATTAAATTTACAAATTCAAAATTCTTTGCAGCAAAAACATAATGATGATAATAAATTTGCATAACATTTTTTTACCCAAACAACTTGCTATAAACCTTCATAGGTGATTCTTTTTTTTTAGCAGCATATCCTAGTCAAATTTATACCCTAACAAGATTTTCTGTTCATGGCAAGCTTTTTTTTTTTTTTTTTTTTTTTTTTTTGGTTTTGGTTTTAATTTGGATTCTTTATTTTTCTTCTTTAATAAAATTAGTTATTTCAAAAACTGGTAATTATATATATATATATATATATATATTGGATTTTTCCAGCTCTCAAAACAATTAATTATTTCATTGCAAAGTATACTAGGTAGCACTTGCATGTTAAAGAGTGTATAATTATGATTGAGATTGTTTAACCGTTGGCTCAATGAGCAAAGGATTTTGTGCAAAAATTAGTGGTAGTTAAATCCCTAACTCAGTGGTGACTATTTGTGGAAGAGCCAAATTGGAATCAAACCACATAAAAAGAAGTGTTCTTTATTGTTTTATTAGCAATCTATATCCATATTGTAATTGCTTCTAACTCTCCATACTTGGGATAAGATGTAACTATACGTGAGAAACCACTAACACTAATAATAAAAACTAGCAAGAAAATTAGCAGTAGAGAGACAATGAAAAGAAAAGACTAGATCCATTGGGAGAGAACAAATCAATAAGCAAATCAACTAAATGACTATGAGAAAAATTGAGAAACAAACATTCACGTCAAATTCTTGCTGCATATGTTGAAAAAACATAAAAACCAAAATAGGATATTAGGCGAGAGCTAAGCGCATAGTGCTATGATGCAAAGTTGTGTTGCACTTGCACAAGCTTACCCTTCATAAACAAGAGATATGCAGACCATTTGATTGCTTTGTTTGATCGCAAAACAAGTTTTGAAGTGTGCTTCTAATAACATTGGATAAGTACCAATATGACTTTTAAATGGGAGGGGAGAATATTTTAAAGAAAGATCAACAGGGAGAAGTCCAAAGCACAGAAGCTAAGGTCAGATCTAAAAAAAATTGTGAGATGAAGGTTTTGATGAGTAAGGAAGTGGTGATTTCCTTTGACATTTTGGATTGAGGGGAAAAGGCGAAGGGCACTAATTTGGCGGGAATTTTCCCATTTGACAGGATTTTTTTTTTCCTAAATTAAATTATGAAAATATATCAAGTGTATGATACTCAACTAAATATAAATATTTTTCTAGCCTTTTTTACAATAAATATTTCTCTTATTTATAGAGAATATGGTATAACAAATAAAATGATTTTCCCATCTCTCATCATAATAGGGCTCGCAATGACAAATTCTTTATAGACAGTTGTTTGACATTATTGCGCAAAATAAAAAAAATGCATGTAAATTGTATCGTGCATATGCATATCAAATTGGATTCACTATTTGAAAGGGCAATGTCCGTTTTAGGCCAAATTTAACGAATATAAAATCAAATGACTTCTTATACTATAAAAATGATTTTAAAAAGGAGTCTAGCCTCAATAGTTCATCTAAGTTTTAAAAAAACAAACATTAAGGTTGGTTGTCCAACCATTATTTGATATGGTCTTGACGTAGATAACAAATGGAAAATTTTTTAAAATATTAATTTTCATAACCATTCCTGAGCAGAGTCGGGTGACCAACATTTCTTGGGATTAAGTCGAATATCAGTGATATCAACAGAGATGTGCTTAAATTGATGACCGAAGCAAAGAAAAGCTATTGATGCTTTCAACCTTTTTGCCATGAAAGTTGGTGGAGTACATAAATTGGGGTTCTAAAAAAAGTTGCATTCAATTTTATTCAAAATGTGTGATTAGTGAAAAATGTATATCATGACACTCGATTTAATACAACTATTCACAGAAAATGGTAAGTTGCAAACAATATGTTTGCGTGTAACTTCTTAGTTAATGATTTCGGTAGGTTCATGAGATTTTGAGCGATGTCATTTCAAAAATCAAATATTATTACTTCGGTGATGTCGTAATTTTGTATATAAGTTACATGTTGAATAAATATAGCTTAGGTTGTGCAACGTTTTTATGGGTTAACCATTATTGACAGAATGTCCTCATTGGATTAGGTTTTTTTATCTGACAGAATAATTGACTTATTCAAGTGATTATTTAAAACATGTATTTGTATAATAGATGATAAGCATTTATTAACAATATTCACTTATCACGAGCAAGCAATGACGAAAGCTATAGAAGACGCATTTCCTTATATTCATCATACATTATGTCAATAACATATATTAAAAATATTTCTTTTAAGGGTACATTGCTCCACCAACAATAACAAAATAAATGACATGTTTTACACGTGTGTGAATAAATGTGATTCAAAGGAGATGTTCAAATAAACTTGAACTAAGACACTTGATAAATTATCTATTTTACTATTCACCGAAGCTTTGAAGTCGTAATCTTTTTCAATGTTTATTTGGGCTTGAGATTTTGGTGGCAATAAAATATGCACGAATATTATAATTGATGGTTGCAATGAATTTGACAACATGGTTTGTCGAAAATGGCTGATAGCAATGTCATGAGCGGGACTCAGTTGTGAATTTGACAACGAGGCTTCTCGGAGGGGGATGATAGTGGTTTCACCAGCAAGCAGTTGAAGCTTTGCCACAGTTAAGTCCTTGAATAAATAAATAAATAAATAAATAAAACAAAATAAATGTTGATTGTCATATTACTTATGCAAAATAAGATGTCATGTAGCAATTATAAGTAATTAGTAGTTGAAAGTATGTGTTAATGATGCCTCTGAAATAATAAAATATAACATAATTTATTGCACCGATTCCTGCTTTTGACCACCTTAACATTCGTGGTCGAGTGTTAGGTACGCTAAGTGCGCTTAAGTGCGTGCGCTCATAAAACCATATATAAATAAAATGAGAAGAAAAAACATTAATTTGATTGTAAAAATAAGTCAGATGTCTTGATGCATACAAAATGTTCGACGTAATCAAGACAACAAATATGTTCATGTAGCCAAACATTTGTTGTCGCCTTATTTTCTAAGTAGTAATATCCATTTGCTATTTAAAAAAATCATATGTGGCAATCGGCTAATAAGAAAAACTATGCACATATTCAACAAATCTGTACATACCACTTGACATGTTATAGGCGATCGAGGGAAAAATTAAGTTCAACATCAAAAAGTTAATAATAAACTCAACAACAAGATCGAGATACTCCCTTGAAACAAAGCTCAAGAGGTCGCTCTTTATTTGCAGTGAAGTGACATTTGATAATATAGACTTGCCCCAAATTACGCGTTCAACTTTATTGCGAATTCTTCTTATTACAACAAGTTTATCAACAATGAAGGTTGATGATGTTTCACCAATCTTAAAGACCTTCTCATCAACATCCTGATACTTTCATAATTTGTAGGGTCAGGCTATTTTTGTGTTGGTAAGGAGACATCGTTAAGAATTTACTAAATTTTGGTCACGTAGAGGATCATAGCTTCATCGATAAGAATTCGATGTATGTGGTCACATACTCCCCTAACAGTCGAAGGCCGCACCTACATCAGCATACTTGCAGTTAAATCACTATAAAATGACTCGAAGAAAACAAAATAAACATAAAGTTGTCCTGCTAAAAAAGTGCATTGTAAAGTAAATATAATTAACAATGTAGCTTTTAAATTTTTAATAACACAAGACAATAAGTATATACAAGCTGGCGCACACAAGTATCATATAAATTTGGCGATGGTGTGATGTCAGAGGTATTAGAGTGATATTGAAGTGTTTATAAAGTCATATTATGGTGGTATTTGTGTGATATTGAGGTAGTATTTGTTTTGTTTTGTTGAGGTTTTGTGAGAGGATCAATGTTTGTGGTATTGAACTAGCATTTGGGTGATATTGTGTTGGTATAGGGGTAGTATTAGTTTGGTTTTATTGAGATTTTGGGGGTGGTGCAATTTTTGTGGTATTGAGGTGGCAATGACGTGGTATTAGGGCGATATCGAAGTGATATTTGGATGATATTATTGTAGTATTTGTTTGGTCTTTTTGAGATTTTGTGATTGGTGCAGTATTGGTGGTATTAGAGTGCTGATGGTGTATTACATGTGACATTGATATAATATTGAAGGGGTATTGTGGGGGTATCACGGTAGTATTAGTTTGATTTTGTTGAAGTTTTGTGGTGGTGCAATATTGGTGGCATTGAGATGATAATGATATGACATTACACTGTTATTGAAGTGGTATTTAGGGTATATTGGGGCAATATTGATTTGGTCTTATTGAAGTTTGGTGGGCGATGCAATGTTGGTGATATCAGGACAATAATGAAGTTGTATTGGGGTAGTATTGAAGCGTTTTTTGGGGTTTTTGGGACAAGATGTTGATGAGGTGATACTGGGTGGCATTGGGGCAGAGTAGGGTGATATTGGGTATTTTGGGAAAAGATATTGATGAGGTGATATTGAGATAATATTAGAGTGGTATTGTGGTTTTTGGCATAAGGTTGTGTTGGGGTGGTATTGGAGTGATCTTGTGTTTTTTTGTACAATATTAATGGGGTGTTAGCAGGTGGAGTTGGAGTGATATTGAAGTAGTATTGAGGTGGTGTTGAAGTGATATTGCAACAATATTCATGTAGTATTGAAATAAATGAGTATCACTCCAACACCGTTAATGAGGTGGTATTGGATCAATATTCAAGTAATACTGAAGTGGATAAGTAATACCGTTGAGTTATCGTATAGAAGTGGCATTGGAGAGCTATTTTGATTATCTAATGTATTTTCTCACTAATTGAACAAAATCTCATTATCAAATCAAATACAATTTTTTTCGGTGATATATATATTGTTCATAATGCATGAAACAATATCAAGGAACAAATGATGTCAAAAGCTTGATGCTCGATGAATATACTTCATGATGAAGAATGATTTGTACATTAAAACAAATATATACTTATTAAAGATGAAACTCCACTGTCCTTGATTTTGGGAAAAAAATTGCGTACATAAGACGTACGCAAAGCTGGGTACGTCTGTAACTTGCAAACATGTTATAGAGAGGATTTTAGAAGGTTATAATCGCTTTATACCCCATGTAACCTACCTATACCTTCTAGTAAGTTCTGCGTTTCTGTTTTGATATACAGGTAGGTTATAGGGAGGATACATGGGGTATAGCATAGTTATAACCTCCCGAAATCCTTCCTGTAACATGTTTGTAGGATATAGACGTAAGCAGCCCTACGCACGTCTATGTACGCAAAATTTTTCTCTGATTTTACCCTCTCTCACTTCAAATTCTGCATCATGCCAAATTCTTAAAAAAACCTAAATGAATTTAATAGGCGCTCGGCGTTCTCCGTCCCCGTCCCCGTCCCCGTCCCCGTTTGCCGGTTCGCCCTAAAGCTTCGGCTTCGTGGCACGAACACTTGCGATACAGTCGCTAGAGCTAGCTGGGAAGACAACGACGGGATCGCGGCGCACAGAAACCACTGAAAACTCTCATCTTTCTCCTCCGTTCGTGTCGCTTCCAAATCGAGTTAAATCCGGCTCTAAACGTTCTCCTCCTCTTCTCATCATCCTCCCTTCTATCCTCTCCCTTCTCCCTTAAGGTCTCGCCTCCACTCCGCCGACACACCAATACTCTTTGCAGTATCCGCGCAGCTGATCTCACCCGCGGTTTCTGGTCTTACGATCCCCAAGGCAAAAATCACACCAGATCACTGTACGACGCTTCCTGTAAATTTCATCGCAACGCGTGGAATTGTTTTCGCAATGCGAGGGAGAACATGGATGCGATCAACTCTTGGGTATGGATTCCTGAAGGTTATGGTGGGTCGCCGCTGCCGCGGATCGACCCTGCCGCCTTTCTTCATGCAATGAAGGGGCGGCGCATTGGGTTCGTTGGAGATTCACTAAATGAGAATTTTATCGTGGCGTTCCTTTGTGTGCTGAGTTCGGCTGACCCAGGTGCGCGGAAGTGGAAGAGGAAAGGGGCGTGGAGGGGTGGCTACTTCCCCAAGTTTGATTTCACTCTGGCTTACCACCGGGCTGTGCTGCTTGCTAAGTACATGTAAGCATTTGCTTGAAAGTGATTGATAATTTGGGTGAAATTCTGGCTAGTTCTGTATGATGAACTATATACTTATAAACAATCTTGTTGCATTACGTTGGTTCCTCTAATTGCAAACCTTACACTTATTAAAAAATCTCTTTTTTTTTCAGTACATATTGCAAGGGCATGAGTTATGTAATTCTGGGTGTGAAGATATTGTTTTATTGTGCCATATTCTGTAAGTTGCAGTGGAGCTAAGTATTGTTTAGTGTACTAAGGCAGATAGTATAGATGATGCATTTTATAAACATGAGAAAACATTTATACGAAACTGTTGCTAGATCTTTTTTGCACTTATCTGTTAAATAGTTTTGATTTACTTTTACTTATTCATAACTAATTATATAAAGGTGGCAGCCTGTGGAGCAGTTGGATCTTCCGAGCAGAGATAGTTTGAAGGGATTTTACAAGGTGGACGTCGATATTCCAGCTGATGATTGGGCGAATATAACCCAGTTCTATGATGTCTTAATATTCAATACCGGACACTGGTAATAAACATTTCTTATTTACATAAAGAGTAATTTACATTCTTTGAAATATATAGAATCTACGGTATTTTTTGTAACGTTTTCCTATTGCACCTATTTGTGAATACTCGAATGTCTTTTATATGTTACTGGATATGCATAATGTGCATCAAGATGTTTGTGCTCTACTGAAAGACTATTTTGTATTGAAAAATTTGACATAGCAAGTTGCCCCATGATCGATATCAAACAAATAACTTGGTGAGTAACTTAAACCTAGGCATAGTTTTTTATTCCACTAACTAAACATAGATTTTAACAGCACTCATTAAATTGATAAATGGTTTGTTGAACAGGGCTTTGCTAAATAAAAACAGCAAAGTTCAAGAGTAAAACACAATGGAAATTCAGCAGCTAAGCTCAAGATAATGAAATTAATGTTAAATTGGCTTTAGAGTTTATGCAAATTCGTTTGAATCCAAGCGGCGGACACACCACTTAGAAGAAAACCAGGAAATCCTTTACCCTTTTGTATGGCCAATAGGGAGAAATTGTTGGGAACAAAGTAAAATAATCTTCTTACTATTTGATTCTTGCTTAAGTTAAAATATTGCCTTTTAACTCTTTATATTGATAAATTTTTTTTCGATGTACAACAAAGAAATAACTTAAAAAAAGCTGGTCAAATAAAATAAAATATAATTCTATAAAATTAAATTCATATATGTTGATTTTAAGAATTTAGTGGAGTTATTGTATTGTTATGAAAATGAGGTATAGATACCCTTACATGAATCTTAGAATTGGACAGACAATAAAAGGAAAATAACATGAAAGGAAAGATATAACATCTATATCTTTAATTAATCACTTCATAATAATTACTTGGAGATAAATAAAACTTCATAAAATAGGATAAAAAATGATTCAAATCCAAGGAAATAAATATAATCTTCATAACTTCTAACAGTAATACATTATTTTCTAGTATGACTTCTAACGCTCCCATTTAAGTTGAAATATAGTTGACAATCATGTTAAATTTGGATTTAAAAATATCAAACAATGGACGGGGAAGATTTTTGTGAGGTAGAACTTGAAGTTTTCATCATGTATTTTTTAATTAACTCCAAAAGCATTTAGAGATATTTGTAGTTGGCTGAGGTTGTCTCTGTAGGTAAGCGAAAGGCTCTTACAGGTAATGCTGCTGGAAGTAGACATCCTACAGGACTTCTAATTGATTGTGGTTATTAGGGCTGTAAAAGAAGCTCGTTGTTCGCGAACAGCTCGTGTTCGGCTTGCTAAGTAGCTCATGTTCGACTCTTTCGTTAAGTAAACGAGATGAACATGAACAAAATTTTAAATCTCGAATTATAAACGAGCCGAACACGAACAA